CAATCGAAACACTGGAAATGTATAAAGGTCAAAACGGAACGCAATCGAATGTCACCAATTATTTTATTTAAAAATATGTATAATRTATGTTCACTGAACACATAATTCCTAATCAATATGTACCTTTATCTAAACTATATACCTAATATAAGTTTATAAAGGTGTGTATAGTGTATATATATATATATATCTACCTAGGCAGATATATTTTGAGCATTAAATAACTATATTCAGCATTTAGGTAGGTATTATCACTGATCAGTGATCAGTTACCATACAAAATGAATTTTAAATCAATTTAAACAGTGTTTTAATGTTTAGCGAACTATATTCAAGAATAATATAGTCTATAACAAATAAGAAATAATAGAATATATTATACAAAATAATCAAAATCCCAAATTATAAAAAAAATGTTTATACCTATGTCTCTTATACAAATAAAATGTTTAAGTTTATTAATAGAGATTATTAATATGTTTATTAGTKGTTAGCTATTACTTATAAGTAGTTTATTATAATTAGTATAATTTAGAGTTGGTTTTAAAAGAAAAGAAGRGGCAAAATAATATAAAAATACTTTTTAACTACCTGCATGTATTGTGTTAAAAAATATAGTGGGGAGTCGTTGACACCATTCTACTTCTCAAATAATTTATTCCTATTAATAACCGATATTTAATCTTTACATGTAAATACTATTTACAACAGTCAACAATCCTTGAAGTTTTGTTTAGTTGTAAGACTAGTGAACATATATTAAATTAGCACCTTCTATACATATTATGATGAGCAGATGTTGTATAGATTATACAATACAAATATTTTAATGTTCAATTACATAATACGCATGCAGAAAATATTCAAGATCAACTGTTATGCTTAGAAAAACAGTGTGTTGTAACATACAATAAATATATGAGTTATAAGAGCAAGGATCTTAAAACGATATTCTTACTCCCACAATAAAATGATTAAATGTCAGGGTAACTCTCTCTCCTTTGTCATCTATCCACAGATCACGTCAATGATTATTAGTAGGGCTCGGCCGGAATAAGCCTTTGCTTATTTTTATGGATTGACTTAAAATGTAGCACAGTGCTATGGAAGTTTATGTCATGTTATAATACGTTTAATTATGAAGTTTGAAAGTGCTTTTTTTCGCTTGTTTCAGCGATTTTTCAAAAAAATGCTTATTCCCAGTTTTTCTCATTATAATTGCCTATTTGACCAGTATTTCTACGTTTTTATAATGTTTTTATAATGTTTTCAAATATTATAAATATCGTCTATACATTTCATTTTTCAGAAAATCCCTCGGAAATCCATAAAACCCTTAAAGTATCGAAAGTGAAGTTTAATTTATTTTATAATACAAAGATAAAGATTTATTTTTATTTTGTTTGATTTTTTAGTTAAAATTTTTAGTTTTTTGATAAATATTTTTGCAAAAATTTAAGTTTTTAAATGCTTATTTGAGTGCTTATAATTATGTTTTCAAGAGCTTTTTTAAGCGCTTATTTTAATGATTTTAAGTGCTGATTTAAGCTTAATTATAAGTCCCGGGCTCTGGTTATTAGTAATAAAGATGGTACGTATAAATAGCTAAATTAACTTATTACTATATAGCATGTAAATAGGAATAAATAATATAAAATTTGTTTGAATCTATTATATTATGTACTGATGAAGTTAGGTCATCTACAACTTCAATAGAATTTTTTTTTTTWAATTAAGTACATTCAGGTTACCTTTAATTTTATAATTATTTATTAAGTCAATATATAGGTATACTCAGTGGTCATGTTKTAATTAAAATAAATTATACATGTTTAAATTTGGAAATGCTTACCTTTATTTATGGTCGTTGAATCACTTAAGAAAATTTGTTTTCAGCACATGAAATCCAAACTGGTTGAATCAAATGGACAATTGATATTAATGTTCTATAAAGTAAAAGTATAGTCAATAAATACTTATAGGTGATCCATAGGAGTATCCCGAGTATCCGAGTATAGTTTCAAGTGTTGTAACAATATGATGTATATTATCGCATTTCAGCGTTTGGCCAAGAGGCAGAAATGACCAACGAATCGTTTACATTATAAATGTAGGTAGGTCATCATTGGCRTCATTGAAATAATGCAATGCCATATAGGTAGCCTAGGTATGTAGTGGGGATTACAGAAATGGACCTAAACGTAATCTTTGTTATTCGGTACCTACCCTGTTCAATGTTCATAGTACAATATAACGTGAATCTGAATAGAAATTATCGTTTATAATATGGTAATCAAATTGATATTATGTGCTGTAAATCTATAATCCATATAATATAAACATAAAATTTTATATTATTGTATACCTGCCATTGATCATAATTATAAATAATCAATGACACCAACTATAAGTACTAGCTTATTCTAAATGGCATTGCCCGCGGATTTACTACGTTACATCGTTGCATGTAAACTGCACAAAATTTAACACACTTATTTTGGTCGTTTAGATCAAATATAAAATACAAGTCTAAAATTATATCCATAACTATTTTATGTTATGTAAGCGATCCTATGTATATTCCAAATATATTTTATTAACTATATATGCTAATATACATATATAAATATATAATACTAAAACCTAATGGGTAATTGTCCACCCCATWGGCTACCTTCCACGTGCGGTTGCGCTTCATCACTCATCGTCTCCAAGTCTCTTTGGAAAACGGTATTTTGCGCCAATTTTATAGTATTTACTTGTAAATTGCGCCAGTAATAGTTACATTTAAGTGAGTTAAAACAACTTAGATGTATGGCGTTAAATTCGATCATCAAATTCTGTTAACCCTAGTTTTTTTATTATTTTTTATTATTTCTTAATTTGTATTAATTGATAATGTTGAACACTGTGTTAATTAGTCATGTATATTAAATTACAACAAATAACTTTCACYACTAGTCATATTGTAGTGTATTCATACAAATTGATGTGTCATATGCGAACTTTTTTTTTATCATCGAATCGAGCGTGAAAAACGATCTGCCGGGACGTTTCGTATKAGAATTTCAAAAATATAATATTGTTAATTTTTTAATTTAAAATAATATTCTGAAATAAACCTGAAAAACCATACTAGCCACTATATAATATAACAATATATAATTGTGGTAAACTCAAACATTTTTATAAAATTTAAGACTTTTAATGTAAGTAAGTGAATAAGTTAATGTAGATTAGTTTTTGTTTAAATAAGCGACTTTCTGAAAAAAGCTTACAAATTATATATGTTATATATAATTATAATTATATATACAATTGAGTATTAAAGTTTATAAATATCAGAAGATTGCATATTACTTAGATACGACAAGATGAGTGTATCGACTATCAAAGTGTGTTAAGAGTAATAAACGAAAMTTCTTTAATTTTGAGTTGAAAAAACTATGCCACCAAGATTCAAACCCAGTAGCGTACCTATATAGAAATTATTTTCGGTATGCCCTGATTTAACAAAAAGTTTAGAAGATAAATCATAATCTCTCAAAAACGTTATTTTAATCTTTGAAATTTCCATATGACTTAAATTATTAAAAACAATGTTTCACCCCTATCGATTAATATAATTATATATATTTTTCATATATTTAGTACAAACCAGAAATATGAAAATAAGAGGCGCTTTCATCRAAATTGCGACTATGCATACGACCGCAACTTATCTAAAAGTACGAAGGATTTGACGATCAGAGGCAGATATCACACATCGCATGAGCGATAAGAACATTWAGAACGAATTCCCCGCGACAGTAGGACGGTCTCGTTCGAGTCGTTCGGCGGCGATACGTCAAAAACGACATCGTTCTATTTATATCGTCATTCGCCGCCGCCAAAACGCACAACAACAATAACACGACGCCACTCGCGCAGGTTAGCCGCTACCGACAATAATAATACAGTGCTATCCATCTGGGAATTCAAAGGCACTACCATGGGTTGTCTAAGCGAACGACAGACGAAAAATCTTGTCCCGATGGACAATAATATCAATAATAACTAGTGACGAATATCGATTAACTGTTTTATTCAATATTGTGTCGATTGTGAACCGATTTGTAMATTTTTACCCATTTCCCGCGGTCGACGATCACGTGCAACGGCCGGGGTAGTGGCAGCTCTGTTTCTGAGTACCGCGTGAAAATTTGTCGTATCACGGCGGTTCGCTCCATTACCGAGTTTGCGACGAC